GTGTGCTTATTTTGCACATGTACCAATTTCTTTATTTTTTTGTATATCCAATGATTAAATTCAAATAAAATATATGAAATAAAAGTACATGTTAAGTTGTATGATACGTGTAAGTTTGAGTTTGATTTGTATTCATTATCATCAAAAATTAGATTTAAAAAAATCTGCCACAACTTATGAGACACCCTGTAACCTAGCCATGGTATGATTTAAAGACCTAAAATTTTGAATAACAATGGAATGTTTCGAGAAGAATAAGATATAAATAAATTTTCTAACTCGGTGGACAGAAACAGAAGTTATTAGACGAATACAGCAAAAATCTCAAATGTACCAAAAAAGTTGCAATTCACTCGTCTGTATTCTATATTGAAACTGATGCTTGTTCAAATATCGCCTATTATACATTTCTAAAAGACGAGAAGTAATAATATAACAAAGCATAATTTTCTCATATTTTACGTAGGCAGCTTCTTTTTTCGTATTATATAACAAACATGTGCTTCATCTTTATCGCAATCGCATAACAGAATAAAGAAAAACTAATGTATTGCTTCACCTTGGCTGATGAGTCATGAATCATTTGTATGTAACATCAGTGATACACCAGATGACTTCACCTCCAACATCGCATTTTATATCTGTCCGTGGTATTCGTATTCATTATAATCTTGTTATTCCTAATAATAGAACAGATTTTGAAAATGATGGTACTATTGTTTTTATACATGGCTTTCTTTGTAGTACATTTACTTGGAATAAATGTCTACAACCATTAGCTGATTTAACTGGTTATCAAGTTTTAGCATATGATCGTTTGGGATTTGGTTTAACTGAACGAATACTCAATGGTGAACTTTATACTCGAAAAAATGAAGAATTAATTGCACTTGAACTACTCAATCAATTGAATATATCCAATAATATTCATCTTGTTTCGAGCTCATCTGGAGCTGTTGTTGCTTTTGATATGGCTATAGCTCGACCTGATCTTATTCAATCAATTATTTTTGTTGCTCCTTATGGTCTTGTTACTTTTCAACATTCAGCAGGACCTATTAGTCGATTTTTTCTTGGTACTAAACCAATTCAATATCTAATTAAATTTGGTTTCACACATTTTCTTCCATTTAAAAATGCTTATTATAATGAAGATATTGCAAAAGATGACATAACTCGTGAAGGTTATCTTAAACCTATTCGTGATGATCCATTTTTTATAAAAAGTTTCGTTCTTTTTACACAAAATTACGATGTATCACCATCAAATACGCTATGGAATAAACTTGATAACAAACTAAAAATTTTGATTATTATTGGTGAACAAGATAAAATAGTATCAAAAGAAGATATTCAAGAATTCTATAATATTTTAAAACAAAACCGTCCATCCGAAAGTATAACGGAATATGCCATTATTTCACAATGTGGCCATTTACCACAAGAAGAACAAGCTGATAAATTGATAACATTAATTAATCAGTTCATCAGATGTTAATCAACACCTTGAGCTAATAAAATTGTTTCTTTTTTCAATGGACTATAAAAAGCATCATACAAATGTGAATATATAACTAGAAAATAAAAAAAAAACAAAAGTCAAATCATTTAAATAAAAGACTCTATTGAATAAAAGGAAAACCCTCCATTTGAAATGCTATGAATATCATTTCTACACTAAACATAGTGCATCGAATGGTATATAAGTTGCATTTTCATTAGATTTGAATGTTCTGAAAAGATATATACCAGTTAACAGATACTATAGCAATGGTGGGTAATATGAATGAATATTATGATTCAGTCTATCCCTAAATCAATCTGCAGAAAATTTTTTTAAAGTTAATTCAATAGAGTTTTGGTTGATCTTCAATCATGTAACTCTAATGATGTCCACAATCGATTTATTAATATTCAAAACCTTATCACTTTTAGTAGCTTTTGTAACTTTTGGCTTTTATGAATGTTTGGAATTCTTCGATACTGTCCGTGAGCGCAAAAGCGACTAACTGTGCAACTTTCTCAGAAATGATGTGTCATCAAGCTCTATGTGTAATCTAATTGATTGTCCTCTGAACATAAGTAAGTCATAGCCAGATCGACTAGTCGATACCTAAAAAATGTAAAAATGTTCGAGATCTAAGAACTGTAAAGTATACCAGTTTTATGATAAATACTATTTGACTGAAAAGTCTGTATCTATAAATGATAAGATTATCATATCCTATTATGGGATATATGTAGATCCTTCGAAAATGGTATAAAAATTTCTGAAAAAATGGCATGGTTAGTTGCCCTTTCGCTCGAGAGCAACATCAAAGAATTTAAAACATGTATAAAAGTCAACCAACATTTTCTACAGATTGATGTGGAGATATACTAAATCATAAAATTCAGTCATATTACCCACAATTACTATAATATACTGTAGTTGAGATACGACTGCTCAAAACATCGAAACTTAAAGGGTGATCATCTTGTCCAATAAGATTCTTTTGCCAAAAAAAAAGCAATCATTACTTAAATCTCCTTTATTCAATGTAACAGATTTTAATATGGAACATATCGTTTCACATGGATGTTTTGGTCGAAGTTCAATTAAACTTGAACCTTGAATTTGTGCTAACCAAACCCAATCATAATTCAAAGGAATCTAATAATTGAAAAAGAAAAGAATACGACTTAGCAAAAATATAAATCATCTGCATTTTATTTACTCTATGTAAATAATCCGCCCCTTTATGAAAACCAGCTGACACTAAAAACCAATTTCCCATTAATGTTTGTGTAACAGATGGTGGTAAAAAGTAAGGTTTATTATAATATGATCGAATAACTTTCAATGTTTCTCGTTTACAATTATTCCTAAATTTGATTGAGAAGATAAAATTCGTACAACAAAATATTTCTATTTACCATTGGCCAATAAATGAACGCCGTTTACCATTAATATAATCATTAAAAAGTCGATCAGCACCTTCCGCTTGATTATAATTACGAATATTTGTTTCAAAATAACAGAGATCATTTTCAGCAAGAACAGGATCTTCAATAAAAAGCTATATGAATTCAAAATAAAAAAGAAAACAATGACTTTATTAAATCTCAATAAAAAAAAGCAAACTTGAAATAATTTTTTTAGTGTTAATTCTTTCATTGCTGGCCAGCTGTCTGTTGCATCATCAATAATAACAGGTAAATGATTAAGATATATACTTTTGGTAAAATTAAAAAAAGTTATATTCGATTGTTTGACTATTTCCGTTGTATTAACACATTTCTAAATAAAATAATTTCTTTTTTCTTGAGTAAAAGTTTAAAATTATATTCCGAAAACAGTCGATTAAATTGATGAGAAAGAAATCGTAAATCTTTATCGTAGATAGATAAAAAAAAGAAATGCTTCTTAAAATAATATATACAATAGATATTGGGTTTTACAAGATAAATTATGCAGATATTTGATATGAATATATCAAAACTATAATGCTAAACAATTATTTGATTTTGTTTTACTAATAAGACTTCATGTCAAAGTGAGTTGAGAAAATATAATGAGAATACTAACATAAATTTTGACTTAATGAAATCGTCTGATGCATATTTCATCACCGATCTAGTCTTGGACATAAACAACAAGCTTTCGATTTGCAAAGAAAACTTTCATATTCAATCTTTTTACAAAAAAAAACATGTAAAATTTTTTTTTAAACCCAGATCAGTTTGAAAAAAACCCTCTACGGGACCGAAGTGGTAGTGTAACGTCACCGATAACGACGTTTGTATCAATGCATCACATATTGTCTTTTTTCTCACCAATCAGAAGATATTGTTTGTTGGTTTTTACCTGTTCTTTTATACGTGTATATCTATTGTATATATAGATTTGCCTTTTCTTGGCTCATGTACGGGATTTTTCATGTTGTATCATACTATATATATATATACACATACTCTGCTGTTGGAGTTCTCGTGCTCTCTTGTTCTTCTTATATTCTTCTCTACCTTTACAAATTTATTGCTATTAATGAAACTGAATTCGTGCTCACAAAACTTATACAAATGAACATTGATAATGGTTAGTTACATCATCGGTGAGTACGAAAAGAATATTTTACATTTTACAACCATTCGAAGCAAAATTTGTTAATCTTTTTGATTGTGTATCTTGTAAGAAAACTGTACGATGAATACTCTCATTTCTTGTATAGAAAATTGTAAGATAACCTCAATTTGATACTTTTTTTTTGATTTGAATTATAAATTAGAGAAGAATTTCTCATGTATTTATTTACATTGCATTCCGATACGTCCAATGAATTATTAAAAAATGGATTGGCAATAAAACATAAGTTTGTATAAATCTTCGTCCAATCCCAATATGGAAGAATCTTGAAAATAAATTTATTATTAGATTAGTTTAAGGAATATGTTTCTGTTTTTCTTTCTTACTTTAATAAGTATTAATCGAATAAATGACAAGAATACAAAATAGATATTATAAGTTAATTGTTCATTTAATAAAATAAAATACATAGATATCAATATAAATATAAGAAAACCAATAATAAACCATTTTTTTTTCGAAGTTTTTCTCTTTTTTTTTAATCGATCAAAATGTTTCATTGAAAATGATGAAACTTTTTCTTTTTCAATTAGTTCAAGTAACTCTTTAAATTGATCATCAATATTATTTAAAACATCCATTTTTTCTTCGTTGTTGGAATTCATTTTGATTTTTAAACTAAAAGACAACAAAATTAACATAAACCCAATGGCTTTCACAAAAACAAGTTTTTCTGTAATATTTATTTGTGATACAAATGCTATATATATGAGTACAACGAATATACAATAATAATACTAGTCCCAAGACAAACAAAAAATAATTCTAATAACATTCAAAAATTAAAATAAAGACACCAGAGAAAGATAAAGAAAACGAGAGCATTGCTTGGAATTAAGTGAGTTTGTAGAACAATAAATTCAAACAAGATAAATCACATATCCATTGAAAATTGATCATCGCCTAAATATATATGTATATATTTATCTATGTATATTAAAACAAGAACATACTGTTTGTTGTACCTTTTCTATCCGATGTAGATTGTTTTTGTTCAGATAAATTCATATTTAAATTTATCATTGTTTCAGTAGTATCATTTGTGTTTATACCATTATCAACATTAGTACGATTGCTATATGGTTCGGGAATCAAAGTAACTAAATAAATAAATAAAAATAACACTTGTTTTATTGTAAAATAACTAAATTACTGTATCTATAGCATCCTTGAATGACGTAGAATAGATATATAATAGATAACAGAGAATAAAAAAAATAAAGATACGTTATCTTAGATGAATGTGTCAATAAAAAAGCCTGTTTTGCTGTCTTAGAAAAATCTTAATATAAGAACCCTTTTGATAATTAAAAAAACGAGGTTCTACATTAATAAAGAACAATTTCAGTATAATCGGTATGTGTAGAAATAGACCAAATTGTATGGAAATAGCTGATCATAATCCTGATTTCGATAGATTTAAAAATGAAGCATTTCAAAATTCGATTCGTATAGTTTTTCAAGACATTACTCTACAAACTTAATCAGTAATCAAATCTGTTTCATATGAAAAACAAATTATTTCCTGAACGAATAATCATTATTTATTTGTTAAAATTTCGATGGATCATGAAACAGTTTTTTTTGTGTACCAACATATTTGGTTCGAGTTCTGCATTTAAATAATCATGATTGACTTAGGATTTATTACTATTTATATTATCGGATGAGCTTTCTGTAAAATACTTTCAACAAATAATAAGAATTCAAAAAAATGAAACTTTGTATAATTATCATTGTTATTTATGACTTGAATGAACATCATCTTTAAATTCATAAATTTATTCATTGAAACTTATGTAAAATTGTATTGTTTGTTCTGTAGAATTATGCAGTAAACGATCACGACTTTTCTCGTATGTAAATCAATCTTTCATTCAGATAAAAATTACTGTTTGAAACTATATATATTGAAATTGAAAATTCATAAACACACACAAATCAAACTATGACTACGATAAAAGAATGAATAAGACTTACGAGGGAGCATTCTCAACTGTTACATCACTTTTAAATCGAACGTATGCGCATTATGTAGACCCTAACGATCTATGAATTCTCTGGAAAAAAGTCGTGCCGCTAGCTTATTACTGCCGAGATATTGCATTTTTACTGTATGTTAAAAAAAAATAGCCGTGGTCCCCCTCAAGAACACTGAGAAAACTGAATTTCGAATTTCGATTTGAAACTTTGCACAAATATAAGTCTAAATGAGAATACTTTATTGTGAAAGCTTCAGCTCTTTTCGTTGTTCCTATCCTAATTTACAGCTATGGTAAAATTGTTCATATACACGAGCAGATCCGATGTTCTTATTTCAGACTAGGAACAACCAAAAGATCTGAAACCTTCACAATAAATTATTCTCATTGAGGCCTGTCTACAGACCAAGTTTCAGATGGAAACTGAAAACTCACTTTTTCTAGTGTTCCTGAGGGGGACCACGACTTTTTCTTAAACATACAGCAAAAATGCTATATCTCAGCAGTAAGAAGCTAGCGGCACAAACTTTTTTCAAAGAATTCATAGATCATTAGGGCCTACACGATGCCCATACGTTTGACTCAGAAGCAATATGACAGTTGGGAATGTTCCCTCGTTAGAAGTGTGAAATTTCACACATAACTAAAAACACATATTGAAGTGTCATAAAAGCATTGGGATGTTTTCCGTCCGAAGTTTTATGGGAGTTAAGTAAAAAAACAAATTGTTGACATATTTCAATCATTACCAAATACACTATTGAGGTCTTATTACAGAATTTAATACAAAAAATAAATTTACAAACCTTCCGGAATGTAAGAGAAATTCAAGGGTAGTGATCGTGTCATAGGTGATTCACGACGAGATAGAAGAAATGTTCGATCATAATATATACGAGTACCTAATTAATGGAAATTCTATTTTCTATAATTTTAATAACAGCAAAATCTCACCGTCTGGTGTTGTTGAGTAGATATTACCCCTTGCTGTTTCTTCATTATGTAGTGTCATATCTTTTGAATAATTAACACCATGGTTACAAATGGAAATTCCCTCGCTATTGCTCATCGGTTGTTTTTTCTTTCTTTCTATGAAAAAAAAAATATCTACACAATCAAAATCACATGTTAAGTAGAGATAAGGAGCAAAAGTAGATTGCTCGGGTTTTTAAAAGGTAAATATATAACCCCTAAAGAATACGTGTATATATCGTCATATTATAATGCTATTGGTCAAAATATTATCCCAATAAAAAGTTATTTTCTAGAGCTCGCTCATCAACTGTAGATATCAATATTAAAGTATTTATATGTTGTTGTATTTTATAAATCGGAAGAAAATATTTTTTGAAAAGTGTCAATTAATTTACATTGAATATAGATATATGTGAAATTTTTCATGAAATATATTTATCACATAAGATAAATGGTCTGTATTAAAGACAATCGACAATATATGTGAAATTTACGAATTAATTATTCACATGCTGCGATCATAGTTTTTTTTACATCCGATAATTTCTTTTTTTTTTTGATGACGAAGCACTATTTAAATTCTTGTTGCCTTTTTATATCATACTGGTAAGCATGATTGAATCAACGAATATTCAAGAGGATACATTAGATTTTCCTTATTAAGGCATTTAAAATCAGAATGAACGTCTCCCTCAAGTATTCAAATATTATCTTTGTTAGTGATTAATTTTTATTGAATGCTTTTGTTTTTTTTTTTCAATACATATTGTTGATCTACTTTAGTTTCATCTATTAAAATATTCAACATTGAATTAATATCTAAAGTATATATTCAACAATACTAATGAGTTTCAAATAAGACTAAATGGAAAAAATGCGTGAGCATATGCATATTTTTATGTGTTTATTTTTTCTTCATGTTTGTGCTGTTTTACTTCTATCTAGAGATTATATTCCGTTAAGTGCTAGACAAAGTACGTGATGGTATCTGCATATTCATATAGATTTTTTCCCATATGTAGATAAGAAAATTTTTTTTGGAATTAGTAAGATCAATTAGACACACTGTTTGATGCTATTTATCAATTTTTACAAATCTTATGTTACAAAATATTGATAGAAAAATCGAAAAGAAACAAGATCTTTCTTTATTAACTGCTATGATTATATTAATATTCAATGATTTTTATAGTTTAGCGTTTTTTTATTTAATAAAAAACATAAATATAATAGTATTTTTAAATGTGAGAAAACAAATTTTTTCTTTTTTCAGATCATTGTCTTATTTTTTAAAATTAGTGTCAATATGATTGACGATCAGAATTTAACTATGTACAAATTCATTGAAAGAGCGAAGTTATATTCATATTAGCTGAGTTCGTGGTTCCAGTCGAACTGTTAATTGTTTTGGTGCAATTGTAACAAGTTCAACAAGTTCTAAATTTTCATTTGCCAAACTTGAGGGTACTATTGTATACTTCTGTAATAGACGTATTATTGCAATTTTAATTTCAGCAAGTGCAAATTTCATTCCTACACAATTACGTGGTCCAGCACCAAAAGCAACCCATGCTAATGGATGTCGTTTAGTTGCAAATCTTTCTGGATAAAATATTTTTGTATCTACTGGTCCCCATAATTCATTATCATAATGTAAACTATACATATCAAGTGTAAATTTAGTACCCGGTGAAATAGAACCTAATCCAGGTAAATTAATTTCTTCTGAACATTGTCGATTAATAATAATTGGTGTTATTGGATACATACGTAATGTTTCTCGAATAAACCAATCAAGATATTCCATTTTCTTTAAAACATCATAATCCAGAATAGTATCATTCGATACATATGAATCAATATGATTTTGTAATTTCTTTTGTTCTTCAAGATGTGTAGCTAAAATATGAGTAACATATGCAAGTGCCGTACTAGCAGTTTCATAACCAGCAATCATAAATAAATAAATATTTTGTTTTACTTCATTTAATGTTAATAAACGTGTATTGGAATTTTCCTACGAAAAAAAAAACAAGAAATTAGAATCAATGTTTATTTCATATCAATAAAACTTACTTGATTAGTATTATTTATATTTCTTTCTGTTGCATCGAGCATTAAATGCAATAAATCAGTTTGATCAGAATTTTCTGGTCCTTTTTCAATGAAATGTTTAACATTTTCTTTAAGCCATTCACTTGGATCATCAGCAATTAATCTATCACCCATAGGTAAAAATTCACGTAATTTAGCTTTTATATTATTAAACCAACAATGAATAAATAACCAACATGGTTGTAATTCAGGTATAAATATTCCTAATAATGTTGTTAAATAAGTACTATTTTCTCTAGCAAATACTTGTTGAGAGCGTATTAAAAATGGATTATTTGGATTATTTTGCATATCTGTTTTAATACCAAAACAACATCTCCATATGAGATCCATTGTTAAAGATTTATATAATTTATAAATATCAAAACCTGCTGCTTCCGTTTTCATACATTCTTCTAGTTTAGTCATTAAATTTGTAATACAATCATTAATGATTGGTAACATTCGTTGTATTTTAACTCGTGAAAATGTTGGATTTATTATACGTCTTTGTCGACGCCATTCATCACCAGTAGCACTAAATAAATGAACACCTTTTGTTGTTGAACGTTCTTCTAATGGAAATTGTCGACGTGAATGAAATTTTGAAAAACATGTTCGAAATATTTTATCTAATATATCCGGTTCTGATACTACTAGAACTGGTGTATGACCTTCAAAATAACCATAAATACGACCAAATTGTTTTGTCCAATTTTGAATTGATATTGATATACGTTTTGTACGAGCAAAATCTTCTACATTACCTAAGAAAAATCTTGGATGTGGTCCACCAATACCTCGACATTTAAAAAATGAATAGCATTGATAGATATAAACCAAATAAAGTGCCAATATAATTGTTATTAAAATCAATGTGACAATCATTGGTAGTTTACTTATTTTCTTGTATACTTAAAACTATATTGAATACCTATTAGTTCGACTTTTCTTTTGATTTGAGAAATATGAATAGAAAAGACGTTTATATAGGAGAACAAAGTTCTGCAATAATATGTGTGCCTGTTGAAACTATGTATGTAATCTGAAAATTTCACCCTTAAATGATGAATAAGAAGGTATTTACCAATATGTCTGGTCTATAAAGAACACTTTTTCTCTGTCTAAGTGCAAAAACGAACAAAGGTCATCATGTAACCTCAAATTTTTTGTAAAAAAAAACATGCAGCGAACATTTTCTCTGTCCTTCCCATTCTGTCCCACAGGTGTTTATCCAATGAATAAAAGAAAAGAAAATATTTTAAGTAGAAAAAATCCATCTAAATCCATCCACGCTTACTTCCGTTAGTGTCATATATGTTTACGTATATCACATGCAATGACACATGAAAAGAAAAATGTCGTCATGTTATGATTCAATACTTCACATGAATATGAATAATAATTTATTTTTAGTTATTCTCATGATTTGACAAAAATACAATCAAATATAAATAATTATTTTTTTCGTGCATGCTTCTCATTTATTCTTGAGTGAATCATTAATGACTTCTATATAAGCTGCATTTATTTAATATATGATAATTTTAGCTATTTTTTTTCGACAGAGATAACATCGATTAAATTTAAAAATGGCATGATTAATCATACTCTTTATCTCTGTGGCATATATGGCTACGTTTTTTTTACTTTTGACATATATGAGGTATTTGGACTCAAATTCATAGACAATACATACATTATTTCAACAGAGAGAGAGAACAATAAAACATATTACATTGTGTACGTGTCACAACAAACCAAGGAACCTTTATTGCGTTTTTTATTCTTTAAAGAACAACGAGCATGTCAACAAAAATCCACGTCAGTTTTTCTTTATTTTCATCTATTTCGCTTGTCACTACAGTCACATTAACATTTACATATGAAATTTGTACTATGATTATTAATCTTTTTTTTTATGTCAATATTATTGATACTGTCTGAGTACTTCATATCTTAGTTGATGTAGGAGGCATGACAAATTATAAGGCGTATGTGTGTATATATATATATATCAAATAGAAATTTATATTCTGAGATTAAAAAAAAAGAAAAAGAAAAATAACTACATGACATGACAGTTTTTGCCATGTTGTTGAAGTCGACGTCTAGCTTGTTGTGCAGCTTGTTTAGCAACGGTATCTTCAACTGTTTCTAACATGCGACAAACTTCTTTAAATACTAAAACTATATGCCAATGATATTTTGCTGAACATAATATTGTATTAGCTTTAAAATTTTTCTTAACATATTGTTGTATATCCCGTGAATTTGTTATTGTTATATTTGCAAAACGTAAATCAGTTGAAATAAAATCAACTTTATTTGCCACAACAATTACAGGTAAATGACTTGTAGATTGTTCATCATCACCATTAATAATATCAGCTAGATTTTCTGTTTGTTGTTGAGAATAAAAATTATTATTATTATTAAATCGAATACGAACTATTTCACGATAAATATTTTTTATATAACTAAATGTTTCTTCACGATTTATATCAAATACTAATAAAAATAAATGTGCACGACGAAAACAATACATTCGTACCCATTCTTGTTGAGGATCTGTAGTATTTGTATCATCGAAACGTGGAGTATCAATTATACGTATATGAAACAAACGTTGACCATTAAATAATGATGTAAAATGATATGTAGCTAAACGAGTTGTTGAATATGATGAAGAATAATCGTTGTATAACCATTGACGAACAATAGATGTTTTCCCCACGGCTTTATCACCTATAACTGCTATTTGTATAGGTCGATCACACATTCGATTCTTTTTTTTTTTTTGATTTATCTAAAAAAAAAAGTATCACTAATTTAGCTCATCATATAATAAGTGCTGATGCCTGTGAGGCATAAAACAGAAAAAGAAGATATTATCAATCATTTTCTTCACACGATGTAACAAGAAGGAAGAAAAAACGTTCA